GAGAGAGAGAGAGAGAGAGACGAGATTGAGACGAGAAGCAGAAAGACTGTATGAAACAAAGAGGGGAAGGGATGGAAGAGGGAGAAGAAGCGGAAGAAGGAACGCGAAGAAGAAGAAAAAGAGAAGGAGGAGCAGAAGGAGGAGGAACAGAAGAGGAAGAGAGCGACAGGCGGATGGACGGATGGAGGGAGAAGGGAGGAGACGGAAGGGAGAGAGGGAGGGCAGGAGGAAGGGGGGAAGGGGGGAAGGAGAAAGAAAACCAGGTAGCGGCCTTGTTGTGGGAGGAGGAGGAATTAGGGGGAGGGAAGGGGAGGGAAAGAGCCAGTGAGCGAGCGAGAGAGTGGGAGAGAAAAGATAGATAAAGATGGGTATAGGGATAGACAGATAGATAGATAGATAGATGGGCAGATGAATAGATTGATAGGTAGGTAGGTAGATAGATAGATAGATAGAAAGACAGATAGATAGATATTTAGACAGATAAAAGGATACATAGATAGATAGATAGATGGAAAAAGAGAGGGAGAGGGAAGGGAGAGGAAGGAGGGAGGGAGGGAGAGGAGAGGGAGAGGGCTAGGGAGAGGAAGAGGGCTAGGGAGAGAGAGGGCAGGAGAGGAGAGGGAGGGAGAGGGAGAGGGCTAGGGAGAGGAGAGGAGAGGTGAGGGTGAGGGTGAGGGGAGGGAGGGAGAGGAGAGGGAGAGGGGAGGGAGAGGAAGAGGCGAAGAGGAGAAGGAGAAGGGAAGAGGAGGAAGAGGAAGAGAAGAGGGAGAGGGAGAGGGAGAGGGAGGGAGAGGGAGAGGGAGAGGGAGAGGGAGAGGAGAGAGAGAGAGAGAGAGAGAGAGAGAGAGAGAGAGAAGAGAGAGAGAGAGAGAGAGAGAGAGAGAGAGAGAGAGAGAGAGAGAGAGAGAGAGGGGGTGGTAAGAAGGAGAGGGAGAGAAGGAGAGGGAGAGGAAAAGGGAGAGAAAGAAAGAAAGAAAGAGAAAAAGAAAAAGAAAAGGAAAGAAAGAAAGAGAGAAAGAGAAAGATGAATTGATATTTAGATAGATAAATGGATATATATGAAAGATTGATGAATAGAAAGAAAGATAGATAGATATTAAGGTAGACAGATAGTAAGATAGATAAATAGAAAGATAGATAGAGAGTAAGATGATAAGATAGATAGATAGTGAGAGAGAGAGAGAGAGAGAGAGAGAGAGAGAGAGAGAGAGAGAGAGAGAGAGAGAGAGAGAGAGAGAGAGAGAGAGAGAGAGAGAGAGAGAGAGAAGAGAGAGAGAGAGAGAGAGAGAGAGAGAGAGAGAGAGAGAGAAGAGAGGAGAGAGAGAGAGAGAGAGAGAGAGAGAGAGAGAGAGAGAGAGAAGAGAGAGAGATGAGAGAGAGAGGAGAGAGAGAGAGAGAGAGAGAGAGAGAGAGAATGGAGAGAGAGAGAGAGAGAGAGAGAGAGAGAGAGAGAGAGAGAGAGAGAGAGAGAGAGAGAGAGAGAAGAGAGAGAGAGAAGAGAGAGAGAGAGAGAGAACGCATGGAAGACAGAAACGTCAAGTGAAGAAGCAAGGAGAAAGGGTTAATACGAAAGAGAAAGAACAAAAGATCAAGAAAAAAATACAGGAAGACAGGCACTCTCCATCCCAGCCTAAGAAATCAAACAAACCGGTGAGAATTAGACAAAAAAGCTTGACCGTTCGCTGCAAAGACATGAACAAAGTGAGATTTAGTAAATGGCTTACTTGACAGAACGCACTTTTTTCTCTCTGTGTTTCTTGTGTTTTGTCTCTGTTTCTCTCTCTCTCTCTCTTTCTTTCTTTCTTTCTTTCCTTCTCTCTTTCTCTCTCTCTTTCTTTCTCTTCTCTTCTCTCTATCTGTCTCTATCTCTCTCTCTCTCTCTCTCTCTCTCTCTCTCTCTCTCTCTCTCTCTCTCTCTCTCTCTCTCTCTCTCTCTCTCTCTCTCTCTCTCTCTCTCTCTCTCTCTCTCTCTCTCTCCTCTCTCTCCTTCTCTCCCTCCCTCTCTATCTATCTATCTTCTCTCTATCTCTCTCCCTCCTCCCTCCTCCCTCTCTTTATATATATATATATATATATATATATATATATATATATATATATATATATATATATATATATATATATATATATATATATATATATATATATATATATATATATATATATATATATATATATATATATATATATATATATATATATATATATTATATATATATATATATATATATTATATATATATATATATACTCACACACACACACACACACACACACACACACACACACACACACACATATATATATTATATATATATATATATATATATATATATATATATATATATATGCATATATATACATATATATGTTTATATATATGTTATATATATACATGTATATATATATATATATATATATATATATATATATATATATATATATATATATATATATATATATATATATATATCTCACTCTCCCCACACATCCTCCCTCCC